ATGCACAGATGAGCTGCATCTGGGCGGCCAACATGGTGTAAGCTCCCGTAATGATAACGGTGAGTGGTTACTTCATTTGTGTGAAGATGCTCGCTTATTTCTTGCGAGCACTAATTTCCGACACAGCACCCGCCGGATGGTGACTTGGCGCTCACCAGCCTCGAACCAGCTATGGACGCAAATCGATCACATTGCTATCAGTTACCGCTGGAGAGGCTGCGTCCAGAACTGTCGCTCGATTTGGAGCACAGGTGTGGACATCGACCATGCACTTGGGTGTGCTGACCTGCGAATGCGTTTTGGCGGACCCCCGCGACGATGTTGTGAGCGCATTGACACCGGCAGACTGGTGAAGCCAGTTGTTTTGAATGCCTATCAAAGCACGCTGTCATGTGAGTTGGATAAACGCTCACTGGATGCAATTGAAGCTCACTGGTCCAATATTCACCAGACCTTACAAACAGCAGGCAAATCCTCATGTGGCATGTCTAATCGCAAACATGGACATTGGGTCTCTTCGGATATTCCGGAAGTTATCAATGTTCGCCGGCATATTCCGGCTGGAAGCGAACACAATGAAACTCGCAAAGAGCTCCGGGCAAAACTCCGTGCTAGCCTGAAGAGAGACCGCAAATTCTGGTGGTCTCATCGAGCATCAGAGATGGAAGAGCCACTGCCCTTGATAACCATCGAAAGTTATTCCGTCTGATACGGGAAACGGGCAGCAGGAGACCTGGTGTTAGTGAAGCTATATGTCAAGAGAAAGGACAGCCTATCCACAACTTATAATAACGCTCAGAGGGTTGGGCTGAGCATTTTAAAGGGCAGTTTAATCGGTCGGAATGGTTAGATTTCTCGCCGACCACTGATCGTCCCGCTCCGTGGGGTGTCGCTTTGGATCCACCCTCTCGCTCAGAAGTCGAACGCAAGATCGAACTGCTGAAGTTAAATAAAGCCGCGGGACCTGATGATCTTCATCCAGCCGTTTTCAAATTCGGGGGACATGTTCTTGTGGATGCTCTTGTGGGCTTTTAGTAACTTTCGCCACTTATGGCGCCGGCGCGACATCACTCTTGGCCTGAAGGGCAGAGTGTACATTGCAGCAGTACGTTCGACCCTACTGTACGGTTGTGAAACCTGGCCGCTTAAAGCAGCGGACCTGAAGAGGCTAGTTACATTCGATCACCGGTGCCTTCGTTATTTAGCTCACATCTGATGGGAACACCGCGTGAGCAACGAGCGTGTTCGACGCCTTGTTTATAGCACAGGAAAAGGAAATGAACCGCGCAGCACCGTTATTTCACGCACCAGGCTCCGCCACTTGTTGCACATGCCAACCCACCGACTCCCGCGACGTGTGTTGTTTGCGCGCCGGGGGTGTGGATGGAAGAAGCGATGACTTGGTTCAGAGGAATGAAGGCCCTCACTTCTGAGCTGACCTCGGTTGGAGCGTCTCGGCTCCCTGGTTGGGGTCCGAAAGACGATGAACACGTTTGGTTGGACACACTTGCTGATATGGCTAGGAGCCGACCTCAGTGGCGTTCGTGCTGTGAGTTTCTTTGTCCCACCCCATCCCTCTTAACCTCCCCCTCCAACCACGATCTTATTATTTAGCCTTATATAAATTCGCATAGTAATTTTTTAATGCACAGTAGCCGGCTGGTAGCTTACCGGAACGATGCCCATCCGTTACCGGTAGGTCAGCCGGCTTGCACCAGTTGCGTTTTTTTTCTTTTCTTTTAGGTATTGCGGCACAGTAGCTGAGGTGTTCCCCACCTCTAGCTAACGTGTATAATGATGATGATGATAAACCCTCACTCTGCCCGAACTATGCGCGTACAGCGCTTTGATAATGTTTACATATTTATCAGGCACACCTTTCCTCAGCAGGCAGTCACAAAGGGCACGTCGGTCGACTGAGTCGAAGACACCTTTTACGTCAAGAAACACGATAACGGTAGGTGGCCAATAAACATGGCGGTGCTCCAACAATTAACGCAATGTGAAGATGTGGTCGATGCAGCCCCGACTTCGATGAAACCCGGCTTGCCCTCCACGAATCTGGCTTTCAGGAGTGCCAGTCAGTCTGTGGAGAATGACAGAGGCAAGCAATTTAGAAGCAATCGAAATCATACTGATCCCTCTATGATTACCGCATTTCAAACCGGAGTTTCCCTTGAAAATTGGGACAATGAAGGAGCGGTTCCAGTCTATCGGGACAGTCTCCTGCTCCCGAAGCTTAACTAGCAACACGCGTAAATCATCTATTAGACCAGGTCCCCTGAACTTGAAGAGGGCTGAGGGAATTCTATCTGACCCTGTGGTCTTATGCAATTTCAACAGCCTGATCTCACGTTCGACTTCTGCGCGTGAGGGCGGATCCAAGGAGCCGGCCCAGGGAGAGGGGCGCTCATTGCCCGAAAAAAGACCGATAACTGAAGTTGGTCAAATTGCCTTGCAAAGTGTTCAGCCCAACGCTCCAAGCGTTTTGACAGGCCGTGGATCGGCTGACCACTCTCATCGCGTATGGTCTCGCTAACAACAGGTCTCCTGCTGCCTGTTTCCCGTAGCAGACGGGATAACTTACGAGGATTGTCAACGGTAGCGGCTGTTTCCATCTCAGAGGCACGATGAGACCACTAAGTTTCGCGGTCTTTCTTCAGGTTAGCACGTAGTATTGCCCTGAGATTTTTGCGAGCCTCATTGTATCCGCTTCCAGCCGGAATACGTCGGCGAGCATCCATAAATTCCAGAGACTGTGTCGAGACCCAAGGTCTAGTTTGGCAATTTGCTTTGGCACATGAAGACATGCCTGCTAACTGTAACGTTTGACGAATATGCGACTAGTGATCTTAGTGACACCTGTACACAGTAGTCGATATTGTAAAAAGTGCTGAAAATGTACCCATCTGGATACGTAAAATTCATTTTGACTTGACTTGAGCTCTGCAATCGATTAGGCGCTGGTGAGAGGGTTAGAAGGGCTGCAGACTTTTTACATCCAGCTCCTTTCAGGTAACAGTGCAACTGACTTACGCCTTGCTCGGTGACCATTCATGGTAGAGATAGATACCTGACCGACTAGTGTCGAGCAGAGTGGCAGAGTTGGCGGATGTTTTGGAAACAAACTCATTGAAGGAGGTGGGGTAGTTCACTGTTTGAGAATCAAATAACATTACTTAGGAGTGGAAGGATGTTATTCGTAATTCTAATGTATGCATCCCAGTAACTCACAAGCCACATAGGTTAGCTACAAACTGGAAAAGCATCGGACGCGTTTCGCCTTATTGGGACGCCCCAGTTGTGTGCATTCCCTCGGTCCCCTAATGGGGACCGAACCCATAAGCGTTAAAGGCAGATGCCAACTACCCAGCAGCCAAAGCCACTGAGCTATGGGGGACGACAGCTGGGCTACATAACTTGCAAGCTAACTAGGATATAGCACGACTTATCTTCCGCTGCCACACAGATTACCACCCGTGCAATTGACAGTGGCTAGCCACTAAGCCATGGCATCCTCTCACTAGACGCTGCGTCCATAGCATTTGAAACCAGGAGAGTTACAATTTATATTACTTAGGAGTAGGAGTTTAGTTGTAAGTTCATCTCGGCAGCTCATAAGCTACATGGCGCAGTCACAATCCGGAAAAGTACCAGATGTGTTTCGCCCAGCTGCATTCCCTCATGACTCGTGGCTTAAGCTGCTGGCTAGTTGGCGTCAGCCACGAGCGGTCATGGGTTGAATCCACGGTAGGGGACCGAAAGAATGCACACCACTGACGAGGTCAAAAAAGGCGAAACGCGTCTGGTGCTTTTCCGGATTGTGGATGAGTTATGTAGCTTGTGAGTTGCTGGGATGAACACGTTAAAACCAGGTAACCATAGGGGGTGAATGATACAAGAGGTTAGGTAAATTAGTGATGTGTGTTAGGAAAACGCCGACTTAGCAGAAGGACCACGGCCAATCACGGCAGTGAAAGAGAATGCGTTACTGTGTGGTTCTATGGTGTGTCAGTAAGCCTACACCGAAGCAGGCTGTCTCACGGAACCACAAATTTGAGTCTTTAGTCAAAGAACCCAACCAACAAAGCAGCAGGGCGACATAAGGATTTCGCATCTGTTGGGTCCCGCTGACAGGATGACAAGAAGTCATACAATGGACAAACATTCCCGAAGTCACAGACGAAATCTGATTATCCAACACCTTACCTCGTGAAAATCTATGTCTAGTTGTGCTCAATATGAACATGCAAAAAGCTTTTGCTTGTCGGATATCATAAACTCGAATAACAGCTCCGTCAGTGAGTCGATCGTTTCTGAGGAAGCATAAGTCTAAAGAATGGCTACACAGCCATTGGGAATCATGTGAAAGGAAGACGAACGTCGGTTTTTCTCACGTGTCGTTTCCTCCTTTTCTCGCACAGAAAGATGGTAACACTAAACAAGTGAAAGGAGACTATTATGAACACCCACCTTTACTGGTTTCACCGCCATGACATAATAATCCATTGGTCCCCAGCTAAAAAGTTACGTGAAACGAAAGGTGGCTAGGCCTGAGGAAGTTCGACCAGCACTCATTGTCGGAAGCTAATGCGTGCCATCCAACCGTTTCCACACAGCAGCATCACGTGAACGAAGGAATTGTAAAACCGATCAATCAGAAAAAAGGAGAAATGGGTGCAGTCTTCGTGAGAGTACTAGGATCAAGGACTAACTGCAGCATGGGTCCCTCGGATGACCAAGTCACAGCCATGCACGCACCAGAACACTCGATTTCCCGCATTTTTACGTTATTGACGTGAGAGTCAAAGGAGTGTGGTGCCGAAACAATCGTGCCTCACACCTGATCATACCGCCTGTTCCAGAGAAGTTTCCTACTGATTACGACCAACAATGTTGCATTTGACTAAGCGCAAGATATACAGCCTTATCTATCAATTGTTTTATTCAGAGATTAGCACAAATAGCTCATGACGTCTAGGGTCACACGAACGTTGAAATCAAGCTGATGTTGGTAGAAGCACGGTGTTACCCACGGCGAACACTGCATTCCACGACCCGGTTCGCACACGAGTGCACTCTGAAGGCAGAGAGATAATAGAACTGCGACGCGAATACAGGAAAAAAGGATTATTACCCGCTGTCTTTACAACCACGCAATCGAGTACCGAAGGAAATACTCGCTACAACGGTTTAGAAATCGTCTTTGTTTCGCTGGGTGAAAAATTGAGTACTCCGCATAAAAGACGCATCTGAGTAGAAACGTTACACGCAGCGTGGTTTATTACACCATAGCTACAAGTTATGATTAATGATGGTGTTATGCAAATGATAAAAACAGACTAAAACAATGCCATCAACCTGTTATGGTGGCCACCTGTCTATGGCGACAAGAAAAAAACATAGCCAAGGTTTTCTTCTATGAGTAATATCCCTAAGCATGAACTGTGCATGACGACCACCTGACCCAGGCGACCACTTTTTGTCGGTCCCTTGAGTGGTCGTCTTAGGCTGGTTTGAATGTACACCCACCTGTATGAGTAGATATGATGTGCGTTTGCAAACCGACATTCCGAAGAAACGATGCACCACAGCGTTCGCATTCGAAGGGTCGAAGTTCTGTAGTAAAAAGTCGAGAGTGCAATGTCACAGTACTTGGAAAGTAGTCATAGAAACAGGGCTGAGTCGTTAGAAAGGTCTATTCAAATGACAGGTGAAGAAGACATTAATAACAGTAGATGAAATTAAGCAATCGAATTCCGAACCATGGGCTAATTATGCAAAAGGAGATAGTTGGGGTACAGATTTCATGAGTTCTAGCATCAGGAACGACATGGTTATGTTACGGTATTCGAAACGACACACCTAACAATCCGGTCCGGTCTTGATGTCAAAGAGAGTAAAGTGGTAAGTGACCTTATGGCACCCAAATCAGCAATTAATGAACAATAGAACAAGAAAAGTATGATTGATGGGGTTCTGAAGATGCAGCCATTATATATATATATATATATATATATATATATATATATATATATATAAGTGCCCCATGCTGAGGCTGATGTTGCATTCTTGATGCTTCTTCACCGCAGTTGGGCTAAACCAACATACACTTAAACTAGGTCTCTTTAAGCTGCATAAATTTCATTCCAGTTTATTTGGTTTGTTTTGCCTATCTGGATAGTCTTCCTTTAGCTGGCCACGTTGTTTACGCTAATTGCGCTTAGCTTCGGTAATTTTGTTGCGTTTGTAGCATTTTTGAGTAACTTGTGGACATTTTTCCTTATCGCGGATTCATTGCTAACCAACTTACTTCATATGCTAATTTAGCGAAGAGTTATGCCACTGTATCTGTATGCATTATTGGATTTATGTTATTTCATTTTGTCGTTTCAAGTGATTGGCTGTTGCGTGCTATCCCCGGTGTGGCTGCGCTTGATGTGCATGTTGACAAGGTGCCTACCTGTCTATTACCCACTACCTCGTCCATACCGGCTCCAGGAGACAGTTGGCCGTTGCTGGAGGGGACAGGGTGCACGGTCCTTGTGGCCGTGCTAGGCTCGAAGAGTGGTTTCATGCACTCAGTGTGGAGCGGACTACGGTCCAGCCACCGCCTTGTGTGCGCTTGATTCCCCAAATACAGTGTGCTTGTGTTTGCCTGTGAAGGAGTGTGGGCCGGCTCCGTTGATGAAACGTGGCTCCCATCCGCATGCCTCCCGGTCTTATTCCTTCGGGTTTACACTGGATATGGGGTGTGTGGTTGGAGCTGTGGGTGGTGCAGCGCAAGCCACCCATGGTCCCTCTGTAGGCGCAGGCGTCCTGTGGCTGGCCACAGTGACAGGCAAATCCGAAACCGGATGCCGCCAACCATATATATATATATATATATATATATATATATATATATATATATATATATATATATATATATGGGAATCGAAGGCGGTTGATCGGCGTGCATGGAGCAATCTAATCACGAAGGCAGTTGCTGAAGTGCGGGACAAAGACCTCATGCATGCAGCGAAGCGGCAATTGCGGAAGCGGCAAGCACCGATGGATTGTACTCCATCGACATTGAGTGCATGGTGCTGTAGCACATGTGGTCGCTTGTGCCTGAGTCAGGCAGGCCTAGTGAGCCATGAGCGATGCCACTCGGGACCACTACAGAAGCGATGACGGGTCCTGCAGAGAAGTATTCAGAACCGGCACAGCGTTTGTAGGTACGCTGCATTCGATTTACTAACCGCATGCATGCATGCTAAGTCTCTTTATTTCAGGTGGTGGGTTTTCAATTTTGCCTAAATGCTTTTCTCATATAAATATCTATCTGTACTCTATTCCATTAACTTGCACACCTCGCTTAAGCCAAATGTATTCGATTTCCGTAGCATTTTTGTGTTCGTGGCATTCGGCAAAGTATACTTTCTGACCTCGTGAACTTATCTGGGATTCGTTTGGAAACAACTTATTTCATATGCTCATTAACTTAAGGTTTATGTCACCGTTTCCTATGTATTAATCGAGTTATCTTCTTTGTATCTCTCTCTCAAGTGGTTAGCTGTTGTTTGATATCCTCGGCATGGCTGCGCTTGATGTGCATGTTGACAAGGTGCCTACCTGTCTATTACCCACTACCTCGTCCATACCGGCTCCAGGAGACAGTTGGCCGTTGCTGGAGGGGACAGGGTGCACGGTCCTTGTGGCCGTGCTAGGCTCGAAGAGTGGTTTCATGCACTCAGTGTGGAGCGGACTACGGTCCAGCCACCGCCTTGTGTGCGCTTGATTCCCCAAATATAGTGTGCTTGTGTTTGCCTGTGAAGGAGTGTGGGCCGGCTCCGTTGATGAAACGTGGCTCCCATCCGCATGCCTCCCGGTCTTATTCCTTCGGGTTTACCCTGGATATGGGGTGTGTGGTTGGAGCTGTGGGTGGTGCAGCGCAAGCCACCCATGGTCCCTCTATAGGCGCAGGCGTCCTGTGGCTTGCCACAGTGACAGGCAAATCCGAATCCGGATGCCGCCGACCATGTATTTATGGGGAATCTCATGGGCATCGAGACTGGCACTACGAACACCCCGTCCGTGGATAAAATTCAGCAGTTGCGCAAGTACACTGAAAAGTATGAAAAACCACCGAGTAGTTCACACAGATGAGATGACGAAGGTGACACTTCGGTTGCATCATAAATACATTTCAGCTAGACGCGAAAGAGTGAACGTTAGAAACCGCGTGATGTGTCAAGCTTCAGTGCACGTAATGCAAATGTTGACAAGTTGTCTAACATGAGGTAACATAAGCATGATTGTTGCTATATGAGGTGAAAAGCTTTCGCGAACGTGGAAACCACAGCACAGAGCCCAACCACCCATCTGTGTTCGTTTGATACGCTCGTTTCCAGAAAATGTACATAAGCCATGACCCCCGCGAAGAATCGTGGGCCAGCCCCGAGACAACCGTACATCCCATAAGCATACTTCCCAACCTTGTTTCGTCAGGCTCATGATGGACATGTGGATGGAGCAGCGGATCCAAACCACCCTCAGTTGTCGTGTGCTTCATCGCAGGTGAAAGTAGATACAGAGGTCATGGACCACGAGTGCGCTATGTGCAAGTGGGTAATTAACGACTTTCGATGCGACTTCAGGAACAGTGAAACATTATGAAAACTATGGTAAATTTGTGGTGCCTATAAGAAGGTGAAAATCAACGTTAGAGAAAAGAACATGACAAAATAAGAAAGAAACGTGTGGTTGCTTGTTAGACCACACACACACACACACGATAGTTCAACCAGAGAGCAGAATATGTGGCCAAAGCGATAAAAGAGGCTCATTCGTCACACGGAAAACGAAATGTTCAACAAGAGGACAAAGAACTCCAACATGAAAAGAATGTGATGGCGGTTGAACTGTTCGCGTAGCTTGACAATTTGGTTGCAAACGTTTCGTCACCAATCGAGGTGACATCATCAGTGCGTAGTTGAGTGGCGTGCAGTAGCGTAGAATAGCGTAGAGGAGTCTCGGTAAGAGTGGGAGCCACGTTTCATCAACGGAGCCGGCTCACACTCTTTCACAGGCAGGCACTCTTACCGAGGCTCCTCTACGCTATTCTACGCTACTGCACGCCACTCAACTACGCACTGATGATGTCACCTCGATTGGTGACGAAACGTTTGCAACCAAATTGCCAAGCTCAGAGAACAGTTTAACTGCCATCTGAACAACCTGAGCTACCAGTCTTCAATTCTATAGCCAAAGAATGTGATGGTGATTAGGATCAAAATAAGTTGTAATACATGCGCACTTACTCAAATGAACACAGTTGATGTGTAATTGTAAATGGCCCTTTTGAGCAAAAGATTTGCCACAGTGCACACATACATGGTCGCGTAGATCTGAAATTGGGAATAGAAAGTGGGCAATTGCAAATGAACTGTACACGAAAAATATGTGCACAATACCGAACTATCAGTCAGATCGAGGTTGGGGGTCAGAACGCAGGTTGGGGCATACGAAGACCCCAATAATGAAAAATAATCCTTGAAATTCGCAGAAAAATGAAAATGTATCCTAATCGCGTAAAGCCAGTGCACCGAAATAGTGAGAGAGATGCTAGCTGGCAATTTGACGAGCGAGGCATAGACCTGATCTGGTTAGCCAGCACGTCCCACTCTCAGACTCTATGCATCATTCCGCATACGTGTTCCAAGCACATCCCTTCACAACGACTTGCCAGACACTGTGCAGGCATTTCAGTCAAGGGCTGTAGCCGTACGGCACACGTCAACTTAAACTGTCAGCCGCTATCGTTGCACAGTCATAGGTAACACTGCAGTTTCTATGTGATGGAGAAAAAGGCATTAAAAAGTGGAGCCCGAAGAAACGGCGTTACATCTTATTCCAGAAGTTTCAAATCATGAATCACCTGCCAAAGTGGCTAAGCGTTATTCATTCAGCTTTAGTCTAACGATTCTTATCACAAGCCCATAGACCTGCAATCTTCTGATCCGACTTCGATATTTTAAACGATAACATTATTTGATGCAACAAAGACAGTTCCATGTCTCTGGGGACGACATTACTTCATTAAGGAAATTTGTTTTGACTCCCCCTCCAAAATTACTGTACAACTCTGACAAACCTGATCCATCAATCATTTTCCAACTGCAATCCACCTACATTGTAAACATTTCATTTTGTCGCAGAAACCTACGGGATATCTTGAGAAACAACGGATTTTCCCCAACAAACTGTGTGTTACTGCTTGACTACGCCTCCCTCCATCGAGAATAAATTTGTTTATTTCTAGTCCCTATGCTGAACAGTTGCTGTACTGGGATTACACCGAGCTCCTTAAAACGCGCAGGATGCCTGAAACGACGGACTACCGCATCATTAGACAAACCATCGCACGCTTACCTATTGCGTCCACTTTTCCATGCACTGTGAGTAATATCGGGTGATCTGTCACTTTGCTCCATCAAAGTGCAAAGTCTTCCTCCAAAAATGATAAGTGATGTGGCCAGCGCTAACCCTTGTTGGGGATCAGCTAGAGGTTGTTCAAAGATGCAACCACTTGGGAAGTTGTATATGCGCCACTGGAATTGAAGACGAGGTCAGAAACCATATGGCAAAAGTTCGTAGCACTTTCGCTAACCACGACGCTGGCGCGTCAACACTCTCTCCCTGAAGGGTATGGAGCACAATACAGACGTACCTTTGACCCCGCTGTACGGTTGTGAAACTTGATCCATTAAATCGGCAGACGAAAACAGGTTGGTAAAGTTCGGCTTATATCCTGTGGGAACACCATGTGAGCAATGAGCGTGTTCGACACCCCGTTTACGACACAGGAAGAAGAAACAGTGTACCACTCAGCACTGTTATTTCACGCAACAGGCTCCAATGGTCGGGCTACGTGTTGCGCACACCAACCCACCGACTCTCGAGACGTGCCTTGTCTGCGCGCCAGGGGTGTGGATGGAAGAAGAGGGGTGGCCAAGTTAAGACTTGGACAAGACGAATGAAGACACTTGATTCGAAGTTGGACCCGGTTCGAGCCTCTCGGCTACCTGAATGGGGTACGAAAGACGATGAACAGGTCTGGTTGGATACACTTGTTGATATGGCTAGGAGCGGACCTCAGTGGCGTTCGTGTTGTAAGTTTCTTGGTCCCCCTCTCGCTTAGACTCCACTTCCAACCACCATCTTAAGCCATATGCAAAACAAAATACTTCTTTATGCGGCACAACAGCCGGCTGTAAGCTCACCGGAACAATGTCCATCCGTTACTGGTGACACAGCCGTCGTGCCTTAGTTGCATTTCTTCTTTTCTTTTCTCAAGTATTGCGGCGCAACAGCGGAGGCATTTCCCACCTCTAGCTAACGTGTTAACAAAACAATTTAGATTGTGAACCGTTGAGAAGTGAACCGCAACCAGTTCGGTCACTGGCATGGTGCTTCAGATTAACGACCGCCCTACAAGAGGACAATGTACAGTGGCCGTTTCGGACACTCGAATACTGCATGACTCTGAGCCGTGAGAGCAATTAAACAGGGAACTGGTGCAAGCAAGGTGGCAGAAGCTACCGAAGCTAAGTGACATCAGCAACAATAGCATTATACAAGCTATAAAGTTAAACATTATTGATGCCATCAACAAAAAACTCACTCGTATGAACTGATTTTATATGCATTCGCATAGCGCACTTCTGAGAAAACGATTTACCACATTGTTCACATGTAAAGGGGCGCAGTGCTGAATAAAGGGACAGAAAGTGTATAGTCACAGGTGAAGCACAAGTGGAAACCAGTCACAGAACAGTGGATAATCTGTTAGAATAGGAGCACGAACTTTATAGTGTAGCACAAGCATGAGCATAAATGATGAACCAAGGCCATCGCCATGTAAATTAATCGCTGCTGATGTAGGGCAACTTCGGGACTGGGAACTAATGGTTAATAGCGTGTGGCGCCTAAACTTAATAATTCCTTCATTCTAATATGTCCCTGGCGAGATGGTCTACATTCTGGAACACTATAACTAGTGAATTATGATGAAAATGGAAGGTACCTCAACGGCATGCACTGGGAAATGCAGCCGTTGCCGGCGCGCGGATGAAATACGACACATGGTGTGACAAATAGCGGAATCCAGTCCGCGAAAATCTGATCGATCACAGGGTTTATCTCTCGGATCCAATCACACACAGAGATTGACTACAACAAACATACCCGCCCATGTTAAACATTCTTCACCTCCGGATGGCTAAACACAACCAGTTGGTCGATTTGTTATTGTCGCTGAGTGCATGCGATTTCAGCGGGACCGCGTGCACCGAAAGGGGTTGGTTCCCATCCACCTGGTTCTGCGCGGTGTAAGAGGAATTGTGGCTCACTTCCATGTGAGTCTTTCATCCCACCTCTGTGAGCCTCCGTGATCCCAATCCAGACCTCTTGCCCTAATCCAACCCTGTGTGTCCCCATCAGGCTCCAATATGATTCACTGCGATAACTATCAAATCCCTCTTCTGTTCACAATCAACAAACTCGCCTGCACTCCGAAAACTGGTTTCACCATCTTATCTGTTCCAATGAGAATCTATTAACACTGTGCAACATGGATGTGAATACACCATAGTACTGGCAGCGCCAATCGTACCTAAGATGATCTCTATATTTGATTGTCGAAAAATAGCCATCTCATCCATAGCGACGGATCTCGTCAACACTAGTTTTGCAACCAAGTTAGCTAATTCACACAAAGTGAGTTTTAAGTACCGGACAATCGATCGAAGTGGGTTAAATTGAATCCACTGAGGCAATCGGCATTGCGCTGTACAATCCATAGCTGCGCGTTCAGATACGATTCGCCTAAACGTCAAGACTACCTTGGCCGACTAAAACTGTGACGCATGGAGCAAGCAGTTGTGCCCTAACGGACAGCGATTGCGCTTGATGAGTGATTGTGAACTGAACGTAATGTACTGATAATTATATCGTGTCTATCAGTTAGTACTTGCTCATATAATTGTACAAACTTGTAGAAAGCTTATGGAAAAAAACGGTTCCCGTGAATCGAATTTTAATCGTTCAATCGGATTAATTACTACAGTAAGTAATACGGATGATGATTACAAATGGAAAATCCAAATGGGCTGAACGCGTATCGGGTTGAACAAGCGCTCACAGCATACAGCTGAAGGTCACTGGTCGCATGTCCATCAGATCTTACTAGCAGTAGTCAAATCCCCATGTGATCAATGTAAATGCCAACATGGACAATGGGTCTATTCGGAGTTTCTTGAAGTTATCGATGCTCGCCGCCACATTGCGGGTAGCACTGAACTCAACGAGACTCGTAAAACATCAGGGCTAAACCCCGTGCTAGCCTGAAGAGAGATCGCGAATCCTGGTGGTCTCTTCTTGCATCGCAAATGGAAGCAACCCCTGTCCGTAGTAACCACAGAAAATTATTCCGGGTGGAAGAAGACTCGGTGTTAGTGAAACTATATGTGACGAGAGTGGACAGCCTATCCACAACTTGTCAAAACGTTTGGAGCGCTGGGCTGAACATTAGAGAGGTAAATTAATCGGTAAGAACTGTCAGTGCTTTTGGATCCGTCCAATCGCTCAGAAGTAGAACATGAGAACGGAATGCTGAAGTTGAAAAAGGGCACAGGAGCAGATGATCATCCTACAGGCTTCTTCAAACGCGGGGGACTAGCACAAGTTGATGATTAACCCGAGTTAGCAGTAAAACTGCGGGGGTAGGAAACCGCACTAACTGACTGGAACCGCTCCGTCATACTCCCGAACATCAAGGGAGTATGACGTTCAGAAAGCGGTAATCATCGAGGAAATAGTCCGCCAAAGTAGTCGGGGATTGAACTGTAGTTGAGCTGGAATGACCGCTGGGTGAATAGAATGTGGCCCACAGTCACAACAAGGAACTTGAATGTCTTTGAGGTGGATCTCGATCATCCTGGCCATACGATCTAACAGGATGATCTGTTTTACACCACAGTAGTCGATAGGGAAATTGTACCACTCTGCACCTGGGTAGTGACTACTACAACATAAGAAACGTTGTGCATTGCTTGTCACATCAAACACACGCAATATGTCCGACCATAGGTAAAAGAAAAATGGAAAATGAAAGATGCTATCAGCTGCACACTTACCAGTATGTACGAATTCGACATGTCTTCGCAAAAGGCGTTTGTCGGCAAATGATCTGTCGCAGAGCTCACATGAATGGGGGCGCTGATCTAGATAGTGAAAGAAGAAGTGATTACCTGCAGAAAGATTACCCTGAGAAAACGTCAACAACACTGTGATCTGCTACAATTGGTGCATATCGGCTGTGACGCACCAAGGAATTAGTAGTAACAAAGAAACGAGCATTTGCCATGCGAAACAATGCACGACACCACGCAATAAGCGTGTAAAGAGAGACAGAGACCTAGCATACTGAATAGTATGCGTCCTTGGCAATAACGCTGAGGTGCATAAAATTATGGCGAGTCCAAATCACCTAAACAGAATAGATGAAATTTCAATGGAACGAAGAAGACATCCAATAGAAGAAACAATCGGCTCAGACTGGTAAATAAACCTTGTGAGTTCTACATAGAGTCACTACGGTCAGCACCCGATCGGATGCCTCGCGTCACCTCGGATCCAGCTGTCCATCCCATGCAGTAACTTGGAATAAATGTTACCTATGTAAACTCCATCCGCCAACCAATTAGTAACTACGGCTCGAATTACTGCTCCAAGCTGTCATGACTATTAGATCCGCCTTGAAATCGTGAGCAGTAGGATGACCAAAGCCCACTCGGTTTTGTATAGCACGTTGTTAACCAGTAGCAGTCGAACACCCACGGTTCGCTGCACCCGAACCCAACTGCGTACCACCAGTCTAGACAGTAAGACTTTTAAAAGACTGTGCTACAGATTCAGCCAACATCAGTCCAAGGAAACAATCCCGTAGCCGATAATTATGGTAATGAAGAAGGACTGAAAAATGTCAGCGATACATGCATAGGACTACTCATTCTTACGATGGGCAGTGAGCTGCACTCAAACGTACTGAGTGGAACTGAGTTTTGAAAACCGCCTACTCACTTGGTGCGGGGTCAATATGAGGCACTCATCGTGCGAATGAACTGCGACACGCAAGTACGATCGGAAATGTGGATAAATGGATTCGCATCGAAAACCCGGTTGGTTTGTATCGAGCATGGTAACAGAAACGGTGGCCCTTCTTACCCCAGTCTAATCGTGCAGTTTAGACAGGTTTTAAAAGCCTTAAAAACCTACTGATAAATCCCTGAAAATGCTCGTTAGCTCTGTCAAAACAAGTAGCTCCACTTTTAATACAAGGAAGAGACAGGAATCACATGAAACGCTCGCCCATCCGAAAGCATTGTAAAAACGAAAGATGTATCCTATGCAAATTCACCTGTCATGGAGCGTCAGTTACAAAAACATAAAGTAACTACCAATCTATACCTTCGAAACCCCTTAGCTCCTAATGTCCATAACCGTTTCCCATGTAAATGTTCAGCAAACGTTAGTGATTTTGTATCCTCACTGAACCGCATTATTAGAGGAATAGTTAAATGAACAAAATGAAAAAGTTTCGCGGCTGGATTTTGTCGCGGACAGCCTGATTTCTGTTTCCAATTTAATTGAGCCACCAGCTAAAGCACAGCACAGGCACATGAATAGAACAATAAACTTCTTTTTGTAGCATCTGAGGTAACAGAAAGAATCAACGGTGTCAAAAATGCTATTCTCCTCAACATGCCGAACGACATGAAGATTACAACTAACAGGAATGAGGTAGCAAAGACCTACAGCATACCAATAAATGAAACTATCCGCAAAATACTACAGAAAATCGTTTACATCATCCAAGAACAAAAACACATTTCCGATTCAGTAGAGGAAATTTCGCTAGCATGTTAATTGGAAATCAAAAACACTGTAAAGCCTATTTCGAGATTTCAAAAGGTAATCATTTTTGAATACTGAACCCCATTTCCAATGTGGATTTCATCACACTGGATTTACCAGTATATCACCAAAGCGCACGAAAAGCATTCAATCTATTCATCACTGACACGGTAGAATGAGACAGCACCCGGTGCATACACGTTAGATAGAGATGGAAAACACCTCAGATATTGTGCCGCAACACAAAAACGCAACAGAGGCATGATGGTAGTCACCATTAACGGGTGGACAACGTTCCGGAGAGTTTATAGCCGGCTACTGTGGCGCAAAAAAGAGTTACATTATGCACAATAAATGAGATCGTGGATGGAGAAAGAAGCAAAGCGGGAGTGAAAGGGAATAAAACTCAAACACGAACGCCACTGAGGGGTCGGTTCCTTGCCATGTCAAGAAGTGTATCCAGCTAAACATGGTTATCGTAATTCGGACCCCAAACAGAGAGCCTAGTGACTCCGACCAGGTCCAACTTCCAACCACCGGCCTTTATTCTTGTTTAATAAGTTCAAGTTTTGTGCCCACTTTCAAGAAGGGTCAGCAAACTTTTGTGAGATTCATCGAAGTATTAGCTTCCTTCCCATTGCCTCAACTTCTCAGGCGAATAATTTTCCGATGACTTACTGGTCTCCGCGAGAACCGAGTCATGAGGAGCCAGGCTGGTAGCCGTCCTGTTCGTGGTTGGATGGACCACCTGTTTACTCTTCGCCAAAGCAGAGACACACAGACGATCGACTGTGGTGGTTTCCCTCGACTTGAAAGCCGCCTTCGACTCCGTTGGTTGCGCCAACATGTGCTACTGCCTATCCATGAAGGACGTACGGATTAAATACCTTTCCAATGTGCAGTCTCCCGAGGCTATGTAAGCGTCTACGGGAAACTGTCTCCCAAGTTCCCCACGACATGGGCGATTCGTCAGAATTGCCTATATCTCTTTTCATCTTCAATTTCGTGAACAAAATGATCCCGAACGACTCGGTTCGTTAGGACCCTACGAGAGTTGTTCAACTGAACTGAACTGCTCCAGTGTGCACAGCAATGTGCCTCAAGCAAGCCGGTATTCAGAGTCGATGTCAAAGACATGAGGAATGAGTGAAATTCCGCACAACTAAAAGATGACGCTACCAATTTCCTTTCGAAGACCGAGTCAGTAAAATGGAAATGTGATACAAATGCGGCAGTCGCCGCAGTCGGAGAAAACAGATGCGTGGAATTCCGCTGTCACATGCTGGATGTGCTAGATATGTACTTTGACAACAAAAATACCATATGTAATACCTGGTAATATCAAGTTTCGGAAGAAACAAAACACGAAGCTTTGAATTCAATGGATGCTTCGGTTTCGGCAAATCTCACGCAGAACTTAATATACCGATTAAGTTCCTTGCGCGTCTGGGCATTCGACTTCAGTTGAAACACAGCAAATGCGCCCAGACGCGCAAGGAACTTAATCGGTATATTAAGTTTTGCGTGAGATTTGCCGAAACCGAAGCATCCATTGGATTTAAAGCTTCGTGTTTTGTTTATCTTTCGAAACTTGATGTAACAAATGTGCATTCTACTTGAGTTGAAACTTGAGTTGAAGTTAATCGGTACATTAAGTTCTGCGTGAGATTTGCCGAAACCGAAGCATCCATTGAATTTAAAGTTTCGTGTTTTGTTTATCTTCCGAAACTTGATGTAACAAATAGGCATTCTATTTGGTAATAGGTAACCGAATGCATTTTGGCACTCACACCGTTTGTAATGGTCGCACCACGGCACAAATAAACCGACGGAAGAGACGCATCACAACGTGCAGGGGAAATTGTTGTTGGATAGCTTGTAGTGGAAGTTGTGCGAATGAAGTGACACAGGCAATCACAATTTGGATTGTGAACGACTTAGAAGTGAACCGTGATCAGTCCGGTCCGCAGTATTGCGTTTCTAATTTAGGAATATTTTGAAAGAGGTCATTACACACACACAGTGGCCGATAGGGAGAGCCAAACACTGTATAATTCTGAGTTGTGAGAAGAACAAAGCAAGGAGGTGCTGCAAGCAATACAGCCAATGGAACCGAAGCTACGTGACATCACCAACGATGGCAAAACGCAAGCGGTAGGGTTAACTATAAGTGACATTGTCAATAAAAAAACACTCACTCCAGTGAATAGATTTAAGATGCATTCGCAAAGTTCTTGGTAGTGCAAACGATTTACCACACTGTTCACAAGTATATGGGCGGAGTGCTGAATAAGAGAACAAACAGTGTATGATCACAGGAAAAGGTACAAAGAGGAAAACACTCACAGAACAGTGAGTTAGCTGTCAGAATATTAGTACAAACTTTAAAGTGTAACACAGCCATGAGTAGAAATAATGAAACAGAAAACTCGCTGGGTCAACTAAAGACTGTTGACGTAAGATCCTAACGGAAAATCAATGGCTAATCGAGTGCGTGACGCCTATTCTTAATAATCACTTCATTCTAATGTGATGTGCCAATCGAGATGTCCTACATTCTGGGACACTTCTAATTAAAGAAAATAGAAGGAAGCTCACAAAGGGCAAACACTGGAAATTGTAATCGTCGTAGCTGCGCGGACGAAATACCATGCACGGTGAGACAAATTGCAAAATCTGTTCCGCTCGCATCTCATGGGACATGTTATTCAACTCTCGGATGTAACCACACGTTGCACCTGACTAGTCCAAATACGTTCTTCCGTGCTGAAATTTCTTCATCTCCAGATTACCTATTGGTCATTGCCAAGTGATTTATTGCGGTCTAAGCGAGACCCCGCAACCCCAGTTAAACGAGGACTGGGACGACCTTCCATGCGAGCCTCTCATCCGTGTTTTCTCGATCCCACACATGTGTGCGCCTTCGACCTAAACAATGATTCCGTGAACAAACTGTCAATTCCGTCGTACGTTAATGCTCACCAAGCTCGGATGCACTACGAATTGGTTCCACTATCCTGCATGTTCCAACGATCATCTAGTAACACTATCGAAATGGATTTGAGTGTACCACACAAATTGCACCGTCAATCCAATTGTCCGTAATCTAAACTGTTTCACGCAAGTATATCTGCGTTGTTAAACAGTGATGTGAGTATAACTCATGTTCGTTACAGCTGATTCCACAGATCGGATAGTCTGTGATGCTACACTGCTTGAGGGTAGCTCTTAGCTGTCACAGCTGGTGACGGAAAAAAAACGCACACGGAAATTCGCGCACATGATTCACTCAGAATATTGAACAGAGTGCTGCTCAGCTACTGCAGTTTGTCAAAGCATCCGCGATTCGGCGGCTCTAACGCACTTGCTGGGAACAAACCAACTACGTGGCAAGCTTTGCGTTGGCTACCGTGGCCACAGCGTAATTGCTTATCCAGACGCTGAAATCAAGGGCTGCTATTTCCACCTTTCTCAAACCCTCATAAGGAACGTGAGCAACGACGTCGACATGAAGACCGCATTTGAAGCGGATGTAAACATAAAACCGCAGCTCACATCTCTGACTGTGTTTATCTTTTTAGCGGTCCATGGTGAAAGTTGGGTTGCGGTGAACATTCCAACACAGTTCCAAATGATTTAGTGTACATACTTCACCTCTACATAGATCGAGGGCGCAGCAGGTGGAGATCAATAAGTTACAGCTCAAATGTGGAAGCATTTAGATGCCGCTTTTAAGAAGTCGCTGAAAAGCACAAAATGTTTTGTGGGATTCTACAGTGATTATAGAAATCTTTACTTCACCGCAATTATCCCAACATGTGGTTTTCGTTTTACCGGCTACGGAAGGACATGACCTATCACAGACTATCACTGACTAATGCGCAGGCAGATCGCCTAGAGGAGAAGAAAGATATGATACTCTGCAACACGCGATCGCCTCTTATGTCAAAGATTATGGACAGGCGGTAGACATTTACAGATACATGCGAAGATTGGCAAAGTTGAAATAATGAATAATATTGGTATAGCCGGGGTACAAATTGCACGTCAAATCATTTACATTTACCGCATAATTTAGAAACTGGATACGAGGTTACCAACCATTTTAACTTATTAACTTGGCACATTAATGTGAAAGCAGGCGTATTTTCCATAGGAACCAAAAGATCATGAAAGGACATACGTTTTATGCGTTTACAAGTATCGCGCTATATAACGACAGCGGGAATAGCAGTGCGCGTCGCAGGTGCACGAAGGTGTAGTCAAATGATTAGAGCTTACAGACAACCCTCCTCACCGGTCATCTAAGTGTACCAATGAGCCACCGTATGTGTGCGATCGACTGCGAAGCTCTATTGGGGCGAACAAGTAACGTATAGGGATAAGGTGCAATTTCATCGCTTTTTTCACGTTCCCATGGAACGCAATACAGAAAACATCAAAGAATAGTCATCTCACATCGCATCTTCGAACGACGAAAAATACCGATGTTCATAAATTATCACACTCGAGTTAGAAGTAAGCAAATGCGCGAAGAATATTCTTTTCGAGAATTCTCATCGGGCGTATGCAATTCTGAAGTAAAATGTTGGAGGGAAAAAACTCGTAGAGGCATGTCTACCTTGAATAAAGGACTATACAGAAAGCAACCAACTCAACAAAAAGGCAGTATGAAAAGTAAACCAATGGCTTGATCTATCAGACTACCACATTTAGGCAAGTCATCTGTTAATCTTGAAGGTCGGGGTGAGAAGACAGAGATAGTTGGAAGCTAAGGTAATTTTGGAGCCTGTAGGAATGTGCGCTGTTTGCACAGCTCCGGTTTTAGAACCTTGATTGCAATGGCTTCAGAAATGGTCAACACATGTTTCCTAAGTCGCTTTGGGTAGCGTTTAGGGATGGAATAAACGAACAACTAAACATTGTCCCGCGTCACTAGGAAAAGTCACTGTAAAGTCCATCAACAGTTCTGTTTTGCGACAATGGCTTGACACTGGACACCAAGCCCAGATGAACCAGTCATTTAAAGTCGTTTATACCATAAATAAAAACTACTCAAAACGGCGTAAGAAACACATACTGACCATTTTTGAAGCTATTGCAATCAAGGTTCTGAAACCGGAGCTGTGCAAACAGCACACATTGCAACAGGCTCTGAAATTACTTTGGTCTTGAACTATCTCTGTCGTTTCACCTCGACATTCAAGATTGAGATTTGACCAGGATATCTTGGAAAATATTTGAAACAGATCAAAAAGACATCGTTCCAAAAGGTTTGGCAAACGATCGGGTAGTGAATTTGTTATACTGAACAACGTTTCGTTTTTGACGCAAAAGTCTCAACGGGCAAAGTGAATTAGCCTACAGGTGAGTGGCAGCTTAGAATAATCACGTCCAAGCCACAAGGAGAGGTCGATAAAGTTTCAGCTCATTGGGAAAACATTACAGTGGTCGAGGGTTATTCATCATCATCGCTCGGACACCTCTCCAATTCTTCCATCCACACCTCCGGTACGCAAACAACGCACGTCGCGGGAGCCATCGGACTAGCATGCATAACACGTGTCCCCGCAATCGGAGCCTGGTGCGTGAAATAACGGTGCACAACGGTTCATTTCCTTTTTCTGTGCCGTAAACAAGGCGTCGAACACGCTCGTTCCTCACACGGTGTTCCCAGCAGATGTAAGCCAAATTACGAAGGCACCGGTGATCGAAAGTAACTAGCCCCTTTTTGTCTGCTAATCCAAGGGACGAGGTTTCACAGCTGTACAGCAGGGTCGAATGTACCGCTGCATTATACACTCTACTCTTCAGGACAAGAGTGATGTCGAGTCAGCGCCATAAAGGGCAAAGGTTAGCAAAAGCGCCCCGAGCATTTGTCATGCGATCCGTGGTCTCATCTTCAATCCCACGGGCGCTGGTACAAGCTCCCAGGTAGATGAATCATTGAACAATGTCCACTGATCCCCACCAAGCATTAACACAGCCGCAGTCACTGTCAATCAAGATTGGAAAGCGTTGCACTTGGAGAGTGCGAAGCAAGGCCCGTAGTGGCTGACAACGTGTGCTAATCTGTCCAGTGCGGCTTGGCATGTATGTGAGCTGTCACAGATGAGGGCAATGCCGTCAGCATACTCCAAGTCAAGACTTCGTTCGCCTAGGAGCAGCTCCACACCTTATAAGTCGTGTCCTGTGAACGCGATTTCCATGATTTCGTCAATAGCGAAGTTCATGTGTTAAGGTGACAGTGGGCATGCTTGTCTCACACCGTTAGAGATATTGAAGGCGACGACAGTTTGCCGTAAGCACTCACTCTGCCAGAGCTACGCGCGTATAATGCTCGGATAATATTCACATATTCCTCGGGCACAACTTTCCTGATTAGAGAGTCTCAAAGGGCACATCGATCAACCGAATCGAAAGCAGCTTTGATATCGAGGAACACGACAAAGGTGGGCCAACAATATATGTGACGGTGATCCAACAACTGACGCAAAGTGAAGATGTGGTCACCGCAGCCACGATTTGGTCGAAACCCGGCTTGCTTTTTACGAATATGGCTTTCATGAGTGCTAGCCAGTCTGTGAAGGATGACAGAGGCAAACAATCCTGAGGCGACGGAGATCAGACTGATTCCTCTATGGTTGCCGCATTCCGATCGTGAGCCTCCCTTGATAATTGGGACTATGACGGAGTGGCTCTAGTCGGTTAGGACAGTTTCCTGCCCCCACAGTTTCACTAGCAACTCGTGTAAATCATCCACAAGAGCAGCCGCCCCCCCGAAATTGAAGACGGCTGGATGAAGATCACCTGGTTCCGCGACTTCATTTAACTTCAACAGACCGATCACACGTTCGACTTCTGAGCGAGAAGGCGAATGCAAGTACACAACCCAAGGAGCAGGGTGATCATTAGTCGGTGAGAAATCTGACAATTGCGACGGAGTAAGTGCTCAGCCCAACGTTCCAAGCGTTTTGACAAGTTGTGGATAGGTTGTCCATTCTCGTCACGTATAGTTTCACTAAAACCAGGTCACCTGATGGCAGTTCCCCATACCATACGGAATAATTTTAGATGGTTATCAAGAGCAGCGGTCATTTCCATCTTTGATGCACTATGAGCGGTCTCTCTTCAGGCTAGCACGGAGTTTTTCCAGGAGTTTTCTGCGAGTCTCATTGTGTTCGCTTCCAGCCGGAATGTGGCAACGAACATCGATAATTTCC